TCGACGCTTTCCAACCCTAAAAGTATATCGTTCGCATTAAATTACAAACGTTTCGTAAAAGGGGAAAAGAAAATGACATCGATTATGATAACGCTTTTCAAACACTTTTTAGTCAGCGGAACCGGTATCGTTCCAATTTGACAAAACTGTTGGAATCAATGGAGATAAATCAACTTTACTTTACATTATTATTATTATTATTATTGTTGTTGTTGTTGTGCAATAGTTTTCTATCGAATAGATAGTCTCTGTTGTTTTTTAACATTAATTATTTCTAATGATAAAATTTAACAGGGAACTTGGACATGAAAAGAAGTAGAACTTAGTTTGATTGAGTTGGACGTTTCGTCCCTTTATTGGGACTTCTTCAGCAACTTAATCTTTAAAGTTCAGCGTCTTTTTTCTTTAATTCGACATACATTTTTCTTTTTGTTAATATTCCAAACACAACACATTTAAGCTTCGTTAATTCGATCGTTATTATTTAAAGTCCTCAACAAAAAAGATTAAGTTGCTGAAGAAGTCCCAATAAAGGGACGAAACGTCCAACTCAATCAAACTAAGTTCTATTTCTTTTCATGTCCAAGTTCCCTGTTAAATTTTATCATTAAAAATTGTAATTTTGGACAAGAGAAATACTAAATAAATTAATTATTTCATTGAAATATTATATTATGTTTTACTTAACATATTATTTCTCAGTTTGGAAATAGGATAAATATATGGGAATACATAATAAATACGTAAAATAAAAAATTGTTTAAATACGAGAAAAGACTATTTTCGATACTTTTAAGGAAAGAAACAAAACCAAAAAAAGAAAAAAGAGAAGAGAAACCATAGAGATAAGGATAACTTTAACAAGCGTAGAAAACTTTTTAGCGTCTTTTACTCGAGCCCGAATAACATCATGGGGGTTGTTTTGTGCCAGTAACTTAAAAGGAACACGCGTTATGCGAGCTGACATCTACGGGTTAGCTGGATGAGCAAAGATGAACTTGTTTGATAATTGATAAAAGAAGATAGAGGATAAAGAATGAACAAATAGGATCGTAAACGTTTATCCTTTGATAAAAATCAAATCGAATCTTTTCTTTTTTTTTTTTATTGCCATTAAAACGAATATACTTTGTCGTTTCTTATATAATCATAATCATAATCTTTGTATCAATCAATCAAATTCCTGTCCTACCTTTCGTTCATAATTTTTCTACAACCCCCCATTCCCCACCACTTTCCCCCATGTATAATATGTTAAATTTACAAAGAATTTCTCTGAATCCTGAAAAAATTAAGTACATATATCATTTTCCTCTTCGATGCAATAACTTTATTAATTCAATCGAATTAGTATATCGTATACGATACACCCTGGCACGTGACCAAAGTTGCGACACTGATTGGTTGTACGAATCGTGTCTCAATCTGTCTCTATCAAACGTTTCTATGTTCGAATGATCAAACCCTCCACCACCACCCACCCCCCTCCCCGTTTTACATGCTCTTTGATTAGTTAACGTTCTCTTCCCTTTGATTTCGAAAGAGGATAACCGAGATGACTTAAAATAAAGCCACAGCCCTTCCCCAAGGGTCTCCTTCCATTCTCCAATTCCCTGTAAAAAGCAATCTCTTCTTCTATCTCATATCAAGGATCAAATAAAACATTTATATTATATTTGATATTAAACGATACAAATATCAACAATCATTTATATTTTCATCTTAATATTTATCGATTAATTTTATTTTTATGAAAATTAGTAATCGTTCAGAAACTTTTGACCGTGAGTGTATACGTTCTAATGTCGTGTTCGTATATATATATATATATGTGTGTGTATGTGTGGAAGTATGCGAATTTCGAGTATGAACGAAGATGAGAAGAAGAAACCGAGCGGAAAATCGTTTTAAACCTCACCAGCTAATATTAACTTTCTTCTATCGTTTTCGCGAAATTCTTCAACTCTTTCTCTCTCTTTCTATCTTTTTCTATTCTCTTATCTTCTCTTCTCTACTCTATGGTATCCCCATTCTTCGTTTCTCTTTTTCTTTATAAAGCATTCGACCGAAAGGAAAGACCTCCCAAGCATCTATCTATACTGAACAGCAGCACAAGCAAGCCTTTAGGCATCTACCAAGAAGAGCTTTGCGAAACTGCTCCACTATTATTTCGGCTTCATCTTTTGCATACCTTCGAGCGACAGTGCTATCGATACACTCTTAGGAGTCTCGATAAATCCTTATTTGAGTTACCTACGAATAATATATATCGTATATAAAGACATTGAATATTTTATATAAAAGATATTATCTCTTATTTTATAACATTATACTAAATTATATTATATAAGTAACTCATACAAATATAATAATATATTCGTATTACATTTTAGTAATGATTAAAAATGTTATTTATGTGTACAATACTTTTAAGGTATGATAATATTTTATAACATTATACAAAATTATATTACATAAGTTTAACGCGAACAAAAATTATCATTATATTCGTATTACATTTTATTAATGATTAACAATTTTATGTGTACAATACTTTTAACATATTATGATAACAATATTTTTATATACTCCAATATAATTTTAACCCTCTATGAGCCGAATTTTTGTTTTAAATCCAAAAAAATTGGTGGAACAAAAAATCAGCAATTATAAATCTATATATGCAAATGAGAACAAAAAATTTCGGTTCAAACAATTTTATTGCAGTAATTACACTATGTGACTTTCAAGTCACAGCGGCCTATAATGTTTGAAACCGTGTCTATGAAAACTTAAGCGTGAAATGCCACAAAACAGTTTGCACTTGGCGTTAAACATAAATGGACATTGCATTTGGAACATTTAATTTTTGGAACTCCTTTACATCCGGGATTTTTACAACGTCCTCTGTTATCCGAAAAAATTGGCCAATGTGCTACTTCATCCTTTCGCACGTCTTCTACAGGTAGTATTGAATTTGATCTCC